AGACTAATTTGCTTTTCTAATAAAACCCAAGTCATATGGAACAACAACAACAAAAAAGATAAAGAGACTTTACATAAAGGAATTAGTAAAGTAGATCCAATTTAGTTAGTATGTTCTATTCCTTAAACATTGAATACTCTTTGTAATGACCACAAATTTATAAAAATTGCCTATGTGTTGTAACATACAGAAATAGAACATTTTTGTACAGAAAGGAATAAAAGTACTACTAATGAGTAAAACAGTAAACAATCATAAATAAGTCTTTGTAACCATGAATTTTTTTAAGCTTCCTGGGCCAGCATGATGGGGTTATAGGCCAATCCTCGGTCTGTTGTGCTGCCATCACATATCAGAGCCAGTTCATGTGCTGGGTGCTCTACTTCTGATCCAGCTCCCTGCTTATGATGACCTGAGAAGGTCATGGAGGATGGCACAAAGCTGTGGGAGCCTGCACACAGACCAGACACCTAGAAGGAAGCTCCGGGCTCCTGGATTCAGCTCAGGGCAGCTCTGACTGTTGAGGCTATTTGCGGACTCACATGAAACGGTGGATGAAAGACCTACCTCTCTGTGCCTCTCCTTCTTTTTGTAAAAATCTGCCTTTTCAATGAAAATAAATACTTTTTTTTTAAAGTTTCTGGACCAATGAGAAAATGTGAAATCCAGACGTCAGGAGGGGGAAAAAATATATATATATATACATACATATAATGAACTATCACAAAAGTGCATAGCAGTATTCATAGGAAAACCCAGTCTTAAAATATCTGCATTATTAAGAAAGAGAACAAAAGTATTCAAATTATAAGAAATAAAAAATAAATCAAAACAGAAGTTTGTAAAGAGCAGAAATTGGTCAATTACAAAATACAATAAAATGCTATTAAATCTCACAGCTCATACTTCCTGGCAAACAGTGTTTATTAAAACTTTTTTTAGTTACGTGGAGTATCTCATGCTATTTAGTAACTTCTGTTACTGAAAGGTAAGGGTTCAGTCTGTAGCATTTTTCATCATTAATACCTAGCATTTGTTTGCATGTATACAACACCTCACACTCTCAGAAGTGCTTTAACACATACCATCTCAGTAGGTACTAGGAACTGTGACAAAGCCAGGGCACTGTAAATCTGGCACTACAGTTGTGCCCCCTGAGGCTTGAGATCTTGAACTTACACAGAAGGCCAGAAACTCAAAATGTCTCTTCACCTATTCAAATAAGCACAGATTCCCAGAATCCAAATGTTAGGATTTCTTCATCACTTTTGGGTTGTCTCTGGCCCCATCTCAGTGTGTCTCCGTCACACACTGGGGACAAAGGAAGTGTGAAAGCCACAGGCAGTTCGGCTTCATCAGGAAAGAGGACGACAGGGACTCATCCGGGCTCATGGGCTGAACTGTCTGTTCTGCTTCAAAATCCATACCCTGAAAACTCTCTTCTTTAAGGTTTTATTTATTCATTTACTTATTTATTTATTTAGGAAAGAGAGAAAAGAAAATACATAGAGAATGATCTTTCATCTGCTGGTTCACTCCTCAAGTGGCCACAAGGACTAGAGCTGAGCTGATTCAAAGTCAGGGGTCAGGAGCTTGGAGCTTCTTCCAGATTTCCCACACAGATACAGGATCCCAAGGCTTTGGGCCATCCTTGATTGCTTTGCCAGGCCACAAGCAGGGAGCTGGTTGGGAATTGGGGCATCCAGGACATGAGCCACTCATATGGAATCCTGGGCAGGTGTATCAGGCCAGGATTTAGCCATTAGGCCATCACTCTGGGCCTGATACCCTGAAATCTTAGTATTTCAGAGTGGGAGTGTTTAGAGACAGGGCCGTTAAAAGGGAAACTGAGATGAGATCTTTCATAGGGTCCAATACTACTTAAGACAAAGAAATTAGGACACACACATGCCAAGACACATGAAGTCACAGAGAGAATGCAGCACAGTTGCACCAAGGAGAGAAACCTCAGAGGAAAACCTGCTCTCGGTGACAACCTGAACCTTATGTTCCGACCTCCGGAACAGGAAGTTGATGACCCACCAAGCCCACCACCTGGTGTTACTTTGCTATGCCAGCCCAAGCAAACAAACATACCCTCTATCTTTATGTGTGTAAAAATTGCTTTCTGTGTTTTTGCATGGATCATTCACAGAGGCCAATCGAAGGGGATCAGCTTGCCTGCACCTACATTTTCAGGAAGGCAATTAGAGTTAAGAGCTTACAGCCTAAGAGTGCCTTTTCCCCATTTGAAGAGCTTTCTTGGTTGATTTGGACCAATGCTCATGATGTTCCAGTTGTGACTCATGCCCTGGTATGTGATGCCTGTGCATTTCAAAGGCTAACAATCCAGCAGCTCATTCTCCTAAGAGGACCAAGTATGTGCAAAAGTAACATCAGATAAACATTCAACTCGAAAGAGAATCAAGATCCACATTTCCCGTTCTCTCTCTAGAATTGACCTGAGGCAATGGTTAGGAAGGACTGAAATTTAAGAGGGACATACCATTGTGTGAACTGGGTGATTGGCTGCAGCGCCTGCACCTTGGATACGCAGTGGAACAAGGGACAGAATTTTCATTCCACAGAATGTACCATCCCGTGGTGACCTATCAGCCTTGCCCAACAGGTCTTCTGTTTTATACTAACCAGCTTTGTGCCTTTGAAACAGCCTTGGACCCAAATGTCCTTATCAATAAATGGGATAAAAATAACCATTGTGAGGATTAAACATACCTGCAAGAACTATGCAACCCATCTAGCTTTAACTATCAAGAACTATGCAAATGTAAGTTATCAATTTTATTGAATTGCATAATCAATGACTGTAATTCTATGATACGATGTGTGGTGGTGATGATGATGATTCACGTAGGTGTGAGTTATGTGAGAGTCTATGTTACAAGCATGTTATATTTGAAACGAAAGATGTCTGTCTCTGTCACAAACTAGCATAACTCTGGGCCACATTCCTGGGGAATTAAGTAATCCTGATTTTTAGCATAAGGGTACTGAACTGGATTATACAAGCTGGATCTATCCAAAAATCTATGATCTATTTCTCATTACTCAATGCCTTGATAATGTCATGATAACATATTTTTTAAATGGGGACTTTGACATGTAGGTGGGGAATAAATCCCTTTGAAGTGAAATGCCTGAGGTGTCAAAGAACAAAAAGGCCTGAAGTTCCGGTTCCCTTGTGACTAGAGTATACAGGGAATGGCAAATGATTGATCGGGTCTCATGGAGGATGCTTTGAGTGGGTGACGCTCTTGAAGATGAAAGTATTCTGTAATTTCAAAAATTAAAAAGAATTACAAGGGCAAGACACAAAGTTTGTGGAAAGTGGAATTAAAAGCTTATTTTGCTGGAAAAGATTTCAAAATAGTTTTTATAAAATATGTATTTCTAATGAACTCTGTGAGGACACCCTCTCTAGGGCTGGAGTGAGGTTTGCCTCACTCCAACATAATGTAAGTCCTTGTACAAAGTTCAGAGTACAGACTGCTGTCCCCAAGGCCAGGTCTGAACCCTGCCTGCCGAGACCCCAGCGACTCACCTGCCCCTTCTCTTCTCTAAGTCCCAGTCTCCTAAACTGATGTAGACGCTACATCACAGCCTATGTCACATAACACACACCAGTGTGAATAACTATCATCACTATCACACATGATATCATTGAAGATCTCTGCTCTTCTCTATTCCTTTGCTTCCATCACCAATGACTATAGGCATGTCTAACATGTATGCTAGTACCAATAGTGTGGATATGTAGTCACTGATTGAACAGAATGGAGGATGGAAGCAGGACTCACTGCATCTATGGACAGTGTGGAAGGCATAGCTCCTCATATCTAAGGAGGGAAGAGATGAAATAGTTGGTGACACAAGAGAATCTAGGTTAAATTTTGGATTATTTCTTACAGGACTGTTGGGCACTGGATTCTGTTGCCTTTGACATGTGAAATATGACACTGAACAGGGCGTTGAAAATCTGAGAAATGCAGAAATCCATGAAGAATGGCATGTTACAGCCATACTGTGACAGCCAGAGGTCAACAGCTATCTCACGAAGTGTCATGCAGGCCCACTCAGGAGACAAGAATACCAACCTTCTTGTCTTCCCCCCCAACTCCTTCTAGTAAGATGATTCCCAGCTTGCAGAATCCCCAGACAGAATGAGGGGCAGTTGCAGGAGAGCAAGTCCTGTACACAACACTGCAATGAACACATCAGGAGGACACATTGCTACAGCACCATGATTGGAAAGACACGCAAGCTAAATGTCTTCAGTGCTGTGTAAACCTTCGGGCACTAACTGAAGTCTAGCTTTGGACACTCTGAATCCCTGATTTCTCTTCATGACGATCCCACCTTCTGGAAGGTAGAAGAAGAAGGGGACATCTGGATGCAATCCTGAACAACCAGGAATTAGCGGAGTGACTTTCAGATACCGTGGCAGTATTATGTCTAAGTCAACTTTACAAGTTACAAAAACAAAAACAAAAGCAGTACACATCACCAACAGGTCTGTCTAGAACAAGTGAGTAATAGCCCACATTTCTGCCACAAACATTCAAATGTTTCTGGATATACCTGAACAACATTTGCACCTCAAACTCTCTTAGATAAACACCGTGCCGATGAAATGCAACGGGTCTTTTGCCTGATATACCTTTCTCGCGTGAGAGCCTGAACTCACAGTAGACCTTGTTCAACAAGTTCACTCTCAATTCTCCCTCCCTGGCTGGCACATCTGCTTGCACAGGTGCGAGTGCGCAGGTCGCGACCGCTACCCTCTCCTGATGCTGCCAGCGTCCCCCTGCAGACCTGACTTCAACCCAAGACGGGTCATTAAGAGCTGGTCATGAAGCCTTGTCTTGGAGGCTTATAATTGAAAAGGGCACAAAGTGCTCGTTACCATACCCAGGGTGCCAAAGTGTGAGGAGAGAACAGTTGAGACAAACTTTAATTACAGCGCTGGGGCGCACGCTCACCTGTTTTGCTGTCTCGGTGAGGGCAGCGGCTTCTGCCTTGCCCAGCTGTTGCACCATCTTGTAAAAGAGGCTCTCTTTATTTTGCAGCAAAACATACGGCTCATCATATTCTTTCAGTCTTCCTGAATCCAAAACCTGTGAGTCAGCAGAAAGCAGTGCATTGAAACACAAGGCTCGGCAGCAACATATCATATTGCAGACAATACCTCGGAAAGGGCAGGGGAAGGAGAACACAGAGTCTGGGTGGTAGGGTCTGGATGGTGTTTAAATGCTTTGATTACCCTGTTTGACCAGGTAGACAAAGGACTAACCTGACCTTTTATTATGATAATGCTACAGGAGAGGGAGAGAAATGAAAGTGCTAGACTACCTTATGGGCACTCAGCAGTCCTGTGGGATTTTATGCCCTGCCAGGGCTATTTGGGGCTGTGGCAATTACGTGAGTAGTTTTCACTCTCATGATGTGAGCTTTGAGGGGTCTTTACATATACATCCAGAACTGGAAAACATTTTGTTGTTGTTGCTGTTTAGATATATACTTATTTAGAAAGGAGAGAGAAAGAGAGGCAGTAGAGGGAGAGGGAGAGAGGGAAAAGGAAGAAAGAGAGACCTTCTACCTGCTGGGTTACTTCCCAAATACAACAGTGATCCAAGCACCTGAGCCAGCATTCCCCAGGAACATCAGCAAGCAGGTGGATCTGAAGCAGAACAGCTGAGCCTCCAACCCGCCTCCCCCTGCGGGATGCCACAGCTGCAAGGACCAGCTGAACCAACTGCAACACAACACTGCCCTGGGGAAACGCCTTAGTTTAAGAGAATCAAGCTCAATCTATCTGAAAGGTAGGACAATGTTACATTTATTAGATGATAAGACTTTACGACGAATTCATCGCTGAGCTGATATGACAGAGACTGAGCAATCTGGCCCAAGCAGGTTGAGACTGAAATCAAAAGCTGGGAGATCTCTGCCTTGCAAGGCAAATAAATAATTTTTTTTTCTGGATGTCCGGAAAATAAAACGTTTCTAGAATGTCTTTAGGGTCCTGGATGATGTCCACTGGTAGGAGGGGCAGAACCTGTTTTTAGTGAAGTCAAGGTGCATCGAGAAGTCAGGTGTGGATGAAGTTCATGATTCCGAGAGTGCAAGACTGGCCAAAAGAGGTGCTACCCTAAGCAGCTTTAGCGTAACTGCTCTGCACAGAAGAAATTTCTAGAAATCCAATTTTCTCTGTGGATAAGACTAAAGAAGTAATTAAGAAATTGAGCTTCAACTTCCAGTGATCATGGCCCACACAGCACACGGAGGCAGCTCGCTCTGAAAGACTGAGGGGCCTGAATTATCTGCTTCAACAATTATCTTTCCTTGCTTCTTGCTCTCTCTTTCTTAAGCTGTCTGCCTTTTAGCCGTTTTCTCGCTCATTAATATGTCCACTGAAGATGGAAAGGCAGAGGAGGGGCTCTTCCCCCTGCCTTTCTGCTTATTAGTGGCTTTGCTTAATGGTTTCAGAGCAAAGAGTCCTAGACAATTGGCCCAAATGACGCACCTGGGTAAAGAGTGCTGATGTTAAGTGGTCCTTAGTTCTTCATTCAGGCTGTATTTAGAGTCAATTTATCTTAAGAGAATATGTTAAAACTCTAAGCAGGCCACAGGCTGTTTTCCCACATCTAGATACTGTAGTGAATTCTGTCCCCTGGTATTGAATCGGAAACATTTATTAAGTCTCTTAAAGGATATTTTCCTGGTAATCTTTTGTTTACTACTTTGAATCACTGCTAAGGGCAACTTTCTCAAAAGGGTTCAAGAATAATTGAATCTGTCACATCCACATAATAATTAAAATGTCCTATAATTTGGCATGCCAATTTAGATGCCTCGAATGTGTAATTTTACTTAAGCATAACATTGCAGGGCATAACCACTCCTCTTGACGCTGAAGGAGAGGAGAAAGTGTAATTTTAAAATACAGGTCTCTTGCAAGCCAAAGACTAAGTAAATAAGTGAATCAAATTGCTTTATAAAATGATGAACTTTCTATTCTGCAAAAGCAACAAGCCAGCTTTTAAAAAGCAGCATCACAGTGAGTTCCCTGACTGCAAAGACGACCTCATTTTTAATGGTAAGAAAGCACACTGCTACCTTGGCCATGCCTCATCTTCTACTGAACTTATTCACTTCTGAGTATGTAGTTTTTCCATTCTCCCCCACATTGGCTGAGAATACATTAATGCCACGTAGGTTAGTAGTTCTCAAAGTTGACCCTAACCGAAAGGAGCACAATAAACAAAACACTCATGTTCCCAAAAAGCAGGGGGAGTGACAATACAGTTGACAGAGACTTTTGGTTAAAATACTTTGAGCCTGGTAAATCAGAACAATTTAATGACACTGGATTTTGTTTTGTCTATCTTCAATTTGGGAGATGACAGAATTGCAATGAGTCATTAAGATGGCTGACAGCTTACTAAAACATAAATTTTAACCTTTGTAAGAAAACAACTTAAATATAAGGTAAAACAAATCTCTTATGCTGTTTAATATGCACTATAACAAAATACGGACTCTTAAAATGAACTTATTGCTTCACATGGATGAATTCACTAGGTTGCAGTGATGATAGGCCCTTGCATCAAGATATAAAGAATTAGCTGAAAAAAAGGTTGTTGAACTTGAAAAGGAAAAATAAAAAGGGCTGAGTTGTTGCTTCTATAATCATCACCGTTAACTCTCAGTATACAGAAAAAAGAGCAAAGAACATCCTCTTATCTTCCTTCTCACCTACCTATCAATCCATCCACTCGTCCAGCCACCCCCTCTACACCTAGTACTGAAGGGATTGTCTACTGCAAACTCAGCATCGGCATTGAGAGTCAGGGATGAGCAAAGCACCTGTATGTCAGTCTGCTGAGAGCAGAGGTGAGGACTAACGCACAGCCCATGGGATACCCCACAGGGAACAGGAGCAGAATTGGGAGTCCAATCCTGCAATGAACCTTTCTTTCCTCTCATGTGAATCCGCACAGAAACACACTGACGTTTACTACCAGAAGTGACTGGTGGGCAAAAAGAATTTCAGACATTTCTTTTTCTGAGATATTATTTCCTTTGGATAGCACATGAGTCCACACAATTTACAAACATGCTTGGAAGCACAAACATGCCCTCTGTCCATTTTCCACTCTTTCTAGTGTTCTCAGGACTCAGAATGTATTTACTGTGTGTCTGTGCGAGTGTGTTCAATGTAATTTGAATGAATTTTCACAATTATTTAGCTTATGTGGCTGACACTTATTGCATACTGATTGCATTCATACCCTATAAGCCCTGGAAGATGCAAAAACAGGTACCTCCTTTGAACTTCAAACAAAACAAAACAAAACAAAACAAAAACCACAAAAGCAAACACTCAGGTAACTGTAATGCCAAATAACAAAAAAAGGCAAACCACCTCTGGCCACTAGATGGGGTAGAGTGGGGTGGGGTGGGAGAGCGTGGTTCCCCCAGGCACAAGGACACCCTGAGCCGGCACACCTGTCACCTCCTGAAGGGCAGGGTTGAGTGGTTTCTCTTTGCACTGTTGCATCTTCAAGGCCTGACAACTGCATGTGACAGGTGAACAGGCATACAGTGTGCCTTGGCTAAAGGTTAACAACAAAGGAAACAAGATCCAGGACATGACGGGGTGACTATCTAATATTGGGCAAGAGTACAGGATGAAATTAAGGGAGGCCAGGGTCTAGCAAACCAGGGAGGGGAATAGGGCATGAAGGAACACACCTGCAAATTCATGTCTGCAGGCAAGAGAGAGCACTGTGAGAAAAAAGCATGGAGAGGAGGGCAAAGGTCTGAGATTCATTAATATTTAACACTGGAAAAGGGAAAGAAAGATGCAACAAAGGCACATGGGGTTAAAACAAGTCAGCACATCAAGAATAGAATTTTACCTTTTGGCTTTTACAGTTGCTGATTTGATCAAACACCTTCAATTTTTTTAGAAAAAGTAAACACAAACTCAAAATACACATTTGTTTCATTTTTTGGGGGGGGGCACCGAAAAATGGACAGAATTCATTTTGAGGGTTATCTTAACATCTCTCTTCTCTGTCGGAGAAGCCTCCAGATGTCTCCCACGGTGTCTGTACCGCTCCAACAAGACCTAGGCACAGCCATCAAGTGAAGCACACGGGAATGCCAATGAGATAGCTCTCCCTCGGCCCCAGATCTCGCCAGGAATGCCAACCTCAAATCACTTGCTGCTCTCCAATAGATTAAGGAAAAAATGCATTCTATCGGGTGAGTCAGGCAGTTACATAAGCTCAAAGGAGGTGATTATCAACCTAACTATCTGCAGACAGCAGAGGAAGCTGTCCTAGATGTAAAAAGTAAAGTGGACCCGATTGCAAAATGATTTAATCCATCTTAATTAGTAGCATGCCATCAGTGATGGTAGGGTGGGCTTCTCCAAGTGCTGCTGTGCCCGGTTTGTGTTCTCTGCCTCCAGAGGAGCTTCTTCCTCATCCCTGACCACCTGCATGAAATGTCTCAGTGTAGGAAAAAATTATTATTGTTGTTGAATGGGGGAATGGATAAGAGATCTTCCATCTGTTGATTTATCCCCCAGTTCCTGGCCACCACTGTCACCAGGCTGACGTTATAGCTAGTAACTCCATCAGGATCTCCTACATGGGAGCAGCGACCCAAGAACTTGAGCCCTTATGGAGGTGGAATGGAAAGTGGAGGTGAGAACTGAATCCAGCATTCTGATATGGGATGCAGGAGACCCAAGTGGTGGGAAGCTTATCTGCTCCAACATCCACCGTTCTCATTTATTTTTTAAGCTTATTTATTTATTGGAAAGGAAGATATACAGAGAGGAGACACAGAGAGAAAGATCTTCTGTCCATTGGTTCACTCCTGAATGGCTGCAGTGGCTGGAGTTAAGCTGATCTGAAGCCCGGAGCCAGGAGCCTTGCCCAGGTCTACCATGTGGGTGCAGGCTCCCAAAGCCCCAGGTGGTCCTCAAATGCTTTCCTAGGCTGTGGGCAGGGAGCTGGATGGGAAGTGGAGCAGCTAAGACACAAACCAGCACCCACCATGAGATCCTGGCATGTGCAAGGCAAGGACTTTAGCTACTAGG